ATCGAGATAAAGGCCAAACAAATCAAAACAACAGCACAAATCTAAACATAATAGTTTTACGTGGTTCGGCAAATTGCCTACATCCACGGGGCAAGAAGGGGATTGGGTTTTCACTAATGGAGAAGAAGAGTACAACTTGAGATTACAAATCACTTGAAGGAACAAACTAATCTCACCAACAAAGCTCTTAATCTTTTCAAATAAACCCTAATCAAATAGCTCAGAAAATACCTCTTTTCTGTGCTCCAAATATCCCCAAACCAATCTTCAATCCAAGCCCAAAGAAACCCTAATTCGTATGTTGGTATTTATAACAAACAGCAAACCCAAACTAAACAGGAAACTCAAACTGGGCCTTGACCCAATTGGCGGTCAACCGCCCAAAGCTCGCGGTCGACCGCGATCCAGCGACAGAGACCAAAAAGTCCTACAGGGTCTTGCGGTCAACCGTGCCATGTCCAGGCACAAACCCTGAATCCGTGCACGATCGCGGTCGACCGGCCTTGCATCGCGATCGACCGCGCATCACCCAAACAGACTCCTGCGCTATCCAAAACCTGTTCTGATCAAATCTCTTGCCGATTCTACAATTCTCCATCTCAGCGAAGTTTCTTTCATAAATTGAGCCGACACCGACCAAACCAAATGCCCCACTTGTTGCGTCTCGTACGAAGTAAAATGATTCACGACAACAGACTCAATCCTCAACAAGTCGAGACCCAAACGGGAGTGCGAACACTCACCCAAACATCGGTATCTACTCACCAAATCGGCTGCATCATAAAGACTACCTATGTATCCTCTTGCCCAAGGAATCAAGCCGAACATAGTTCACCCAAATGGCCTCCAAAGGCCCTCAAACAAATAGAAAAGTCTGCAACTCTTCATCAATATCATCTGCATCCAAAACCAAATGATCCCCAATCTATGTCACCTCAGCTGGAATCCCAAACGATGCAGTATGATCTAGAGTATATGGAGTAAACTCCACCCAGCGTGGAGTAGTATCACCCTCCACCTGCTACGATATCCAAACGACCTGATCAACACTCTCTATGATTAAGTCTCTGGAGTCACAGCTTTGAAGTCTCATTACCTGCTGCAACGGAGATCAAACAACGTGCACCTGCTGTCATATACAGGGTATCAGTCTTTTTGCCCCGAGCAATCATCATTGTGCCCTTTGAGATATTCCAATCTTCTCCATGGAAGGTCGTGGTGTATCCTTCGCCAACTAACTGGCCTACGGATATTAAGTTTTTTCTCAGGTCGGGAATATGCCTAACATCCTTCAGCTCCCATATTGACCCGTTCAACTTAATTTTTACTACACATTTGCCCACAATGGCACACGGTTGATCATCACTAAGGTATACGTATCCAAGACTTACGGGAACATACTTCTTGAAGAATTCTTTCTTAAAAGAAGCATGGAACGACGCTTCTAAATCTAACACCCAAGATTCCTCATTTCTCTCCAAAGAGCATATCAATGTGTCATCTCCTCCTGAGGTGGAAGTGACATTCACCTCTGCCTTTGCCTCCTTCTCCTTCTGTGCACTCTTGCATTGATTCTTGTAATGCCCGGTCTTCCCGCACTTCCAACACTCGATAGCCTTCGAGGTGCTGGGATTCCTGGATCTGGATCTTTTGTCCTCTGATTCATTTCCTCTGGTTGAATCTCTACCTCTTAACTCTGTATGTAATACTGAAGAGGTTGTAACTTCACCCGACTCTCCGTCGGATCTCCTCACTAAGAACCAGATCACGAACTTCGTCAGACTTTAACTTATTGCTTCCCGACGAGCTACTCACAGCTATGACTGTAGTGTTTTAACTCTCTGGTAGAGAAGACAAAAGAATCAACGCTCGAACTTCCTCATCAAACTCAATATCAATTGAACTCAATTGGGTCGTGACTGTATTGAGTTTATTAAGATGATGTGCTACCGATGCACCTTCCGTCATTCGCAGATTGAATAACCGCCTCATCAAATGAACTTTATTTGAGGCTGATGGCTTTCCATATATATTTGAGAGCGCTGCCATAAGACACATTGTGGTCTTCTCCTTTGCAATGTTAAAAGCAACATTACGGGTTAACGTCAAACGAATAACCCCGAGGGCTCTCCTTTGCAATGTTAAAAGCAACATTACGGGTTAACGTCAAACGAATAACCCCGAGGGCTTTTCTGTCTAGAAGACTCTAATCTTCTTCCTTCATAACGAATAACCCCGAGGGCTTTTCTGTCTAGAAGACTCTAATCTTCTTCCTTCATACCCTCCGGCTTCTTCACTGAGAAAGGTTGATACAGATTTTTCTGATACAGATAATCTTCTACCTGTATTTTTCAAAATCCGAAATTTGATCCATCAAACTTCTCTAATCTCACCTTTCCTTCATCTACGACCATCGCTCCCACTTGAATCAGACTTCCTCTAGATCGTTTCAGGTTCTGATACTAGTTATTAGGAATTTACCCACCGGGGCTACGCAAAACCCCTAAAACAGCAGAAACGCGAAATAGAGAAAAGTACACCAAGATTTAACGAGGTTCAACAACTGTCTACGTCCTCGGGAGCCACACAGTAAATTTCTTTATTAATCAACGAGAAATTACAAAACAAGAGCCGATCTCAAACTTGAGATCGCTCAATAAATACAAATTGTTACTGTAGCTACAATGAACAATTTTCCTTCTTTATTTCCCCCTCAAAAACTTTGAGAGCTGGAAAACCCCTCTTAAATGAACAAACTCTCTCCTTAATTTCTCTCCCTAAGCCTCATTAATCTCCCCTCAAAATCAGAGCGCTGGAGAGAACGTCACCAGGGGTGAGGATCGCACGAAGAGAGAGGGAGGAAGCAGCCATCTCGTGCTAGGGGTTTCCCTTCTATCTCGGCCAACTATCTTAAAGCACCAACAAATGAAGAATAGATCCAAACTGATAAATGAGAGAATTTTACCTCTAATTAAAACCCTAACAAGAGTCTCCAAATGATCTCACCCCACACGACGGCAACGAGATTCACAAATAGGAAAAATCTCACATTTATCTCCAAACGAAGCCCTCGAAGAGCCTCCAAAACGATGTACTCCTCCAAATAGCCCAAGCACCAACAAACCAATGCGGAACAAATGAATAATAGATTCAAACTGAAAAATATAGAGTCTTTACCAAAAAGATCCCACCTTTCTCACCAAACGAAGCCCTAGCCGAACTTCCAAATTGATCTACTCCTCCAACCAAGACAAAACCCTAGATCTAAAATCTAGAGCTCTGATACCAATTGTTGTGCTCTGATACCAATTGTTGTGTGCAGCACGGAAGCGGGACAACCAAACGGGCGTGCTTCGAGAACCAAATCAAACAAACATTGAGATAAAGACCAAACAAATCAAAACAACGATACAAATCCAAACACAATAGTTTTACGTGGTTCGGTAAATTACCTACATCCACGGGGCAAGAAGGGGATTGGGTTTTCACTAATAGAGAAGAAGAGTACAACTTGAGATTACAAATCGCTCGAAGGAACAAACTAATCTCACCAACAAAGCTCTTAATCTCTCCAAATAAACCCTAATCAAATAGCTCAGAAAATACCTCTTTTCTGTGCTCCAAATATCCCCAAACCAATCTCCAATCCAAGCCCAAAGAAACCCTAATTCGTATGTTGGTATTTATAGCAAACAGCAAACCCAAACTGAACAGGAAACTCAAACTGGGCCCTGACCCGATTGGCGGTCGACCGCCCAAAGCTCGCGATCGACCGCGATCCAGCGACAGAGACCAAAAAGTCCTACAGGGTCTCGCGGTCGACCGCGGCGGTCGACTGCGCCAAGTCCAGGCACAAACCCTGGATCCGTGCACGATCGCGGTCGACCGGCCTTGCGTCGCGATCGACCGCGCAGCACCCAAACAGACTCATGTGCTATCCAAAACCTATTCTGATCAAATCTCTTGCCGATTCTACATAGCTTTAGTACATAGATAGATAAATGATAATTAGCTTCTATGGGATTGGAGTTTTTTTGTTCAATTAAAGTCCACATCATGATGTCACTTATTTTTTATAAATGTGTTTTCGAAGTACAAAATCCAAGGGATTGTCAATCCTTTGAAAGTGACAATTAAACTCTAAGGGATGGCCAATCTCGTGGCTTTTAATTATCACTTAATCTCTAGGGGTTTGTCAATCATGTGCGCGCAAATCAAATTTTTTCCAAAATCGACCCAGTTTTAGTGCATCATTCTAACATACCTGAAAGTAGGTTGATTTTGATAAACATATCTACACTAGGTCAATTTTGATGAATACTTTTATGAAAGGGTCTATTTCAGAAATCTCTCTATTCAGGAAATTAGATGCAATTTTTCCATTTCTAAGGCTGGAAGCATATTCAGTTAAAAAGCATAATGTATATGGTTACAATTGTGCAACATTTCTTCCTCTCCTTCAAGACAAAAGGTGGAAAAAAAACATCTCCTTATAAAAAAGAGTGTACTGAAATGTGCAAAAAGAACAAAACATCACAATCAATACAAATACACATATATATATAACACAATAGAAGCTACTTATACACAAATACAAGAATTCTTTCCAAGGAAAAGAAACGACCTTAGATCCATCTTCCTCAGAGAAAGTAACCAAAAATTATTAAGTAATGAGCAAAGTTGATTGCTGATAAATGAGAATGAAATACTCTTATGAGCAAAGTTGATTACTGATAAATGAGATTGTTCACATACTTATCATCACTGATAAATGAGACCGTTCAAATACTTCTTCTGATTGCAATTGATTCATCAATCATTAGTATATAAAACTAGCATTTAGGTTTCTTCACGTATTGTGCTTGCTCATAATGAACAATCATTTGTATCAAGAAATCTTGTATATAGAAAGAACAAACCTCTTGATCAACAAAATGAGAAAATAAACGAAAAGATTGACATATTTGACGACATAAAGACTCAATTGCAATCGCCCCGTATGTTGTGTTTTCATGGCCTTCTCATCACTTGTCAGCAATTATAAGCCCCATGCACAGTTACATATAGTAGGATTCTTCGAAACACACTTAAAGAAGCACACTAATATATGAAAATCCCCACAGAATAGCCCAAGCTGGTACACAAATAAGATGATGGACTGAAACCATGGTACGCAAATAAGATGAAGGACTGAAACCATTTCTTCACTTATCAAGCTAAGAACAAGATGCTTCAAACTGGAATATTACAAGCAGCTTCGTCATCGTCTTCTTTATGAAACTTCCATATCGATGCCATTATCCCGAGAGAAGAAGAGGAAGCCCTCGGTTTCCTTTCCTTTTTTGCCTAAACGAAGAATTACCAGAGTTAGTTTCAGCATAAAATCCATATGATCAGTTATATATATCCTACTGTTACCTTTTTAACTGGAGCCTTCTTTTTTGTCTCGAGATTTAGATTCTTAGGCCTATTCAACACATACTCCTTCAGCTGATCATCAGTCATGTTTTGTATCATAGTTGTCTACAATTAACTAGAAATTAGTATCTGATTGCAGCAACGCAAAACGCAAGGGTACATATTGTCGCAACCGTAGTAATTAGAAGAATATTGTGTGCACAATGAAAATAAGCTGCATACGTAATAGGCTTAGCGAAACAGTTAATTATCTTCTTGAAGTATATGTTGGAAAAAGTACATAGCCAGCGAGGCAATATTCGCTATGTAAACATGACTTAAGAACTTGCTTGTAATATGCTTTATACGAAGAGAATTGAACAGAACCATTTTACCTAGAAAAACTATCACCAATAATAAAGCAAGCGATGCATATTTTTATGGGAAGCGACAAATTAAATTGGAGGTCAAAATTTTCACGAAATATTAACACAGAAATCCTGCCAATTAACTCTTCCAATTTTGTCTACTCTCGTTGTTTGATGCTACCAGGTGCTTTTTTTTTCCTTACGATTGGGCACCAACAACAGTGAACTAGTAAGAAAATCGTGCTAACTCGAAGTTAAACCTTTAACATCAGAATCAACAGCTCAAGAATGATGCCAATACACATTTACTACATGATCAGTTTGGAAACTACTCGACTTCCATGCACCCCATATAATTTTTATATATATATAGCTAGCTTGCACCCCATATTTAATATTAAAGGAAAATGTTATAAAGAGCAACAACAGAAAATGGATAGAGATCACATTCACCAAAAAATAAAGAAGACTATCAACCCAACATAAAAAAGTGGATGAATGAAATTTTATAAAATAGCTCTTAAAACTACAAAAATTTAATTATCTAACTCTTCATTTTTAAGCATAAGTGATTGACAACTTCGACATAAAAATATTAAATCTAATCCAAATAGTAAACAAAGGTCCACGTGATAAATACCATGAATATATGTATTAAAATTCAAGACTGGTTCTTCGATCTTGTTTGGAAATACTGCATTGATATGCAACCTAACACTCTCTTTAATTTAGCCCATTGAGGCAAAGAAAAGGCAAATACTATTCTGAATCAAATGCTAAATCATTAGCACAACAATTAGATTATCACTACAATATAAAATATGGAGATTGACACTAAATGCACTATTAAGATCAGGATGGGAACAAACAACAAACCCATGAGAAGAGTTCCTCGACTTGATTCTTGATGACTACTTCATCTGCGTCTGCGCGCTCTTTCTTTTGTTGCCAAGAAAGAACCTCAGGGACCTTGTGCTTCTTTGATTCCTTTCCAGACATTATTAGCAACAATGCAAAATGGTAATAAACAATAATCCAATTGAGCTTTATAGTTTGCAAGTAAAGGCAAAGAATAAAATACATCAGAGTTGAGACTATATATAAGGGGGTGTTTGTTTGCATGCAAGTGAAAGATGAAAGTGAGAAAGTTACTTTCATTTAACAATTAAGGTGTTTGTTTTCATGTAAGTGGTTATGAAAGTGAGATGCAAAAAAGTTGTCACATATGATTTAATGCAATTTTGACTTCCCCTAAAAAAATGGTGAAGTCACATGAAAGTGACAAAAATGTAACTAATTTAATTAAATAATTTTAATTATACTTTTCTAATTAATCTTATTTTGACACGTCATCTTCACATTGCACTTTAGATAATAATTTAATTTTTCAAACAAACACTGTATTTCACTTGCGTGCTGACATGGATGTAAAAGTCATTTGCAAAAAAAAGTAACTTACATATTTTAAATTCACTTTCAGATTGCCAAACACCCCCTAAATGAAAGTCAAAGTACCGGTTAGGCTTGAACCAGAAGGATAGGCGTTATCATATATATATAACAAGATGCGAAGGAACAGTATGTGGAAAAGGAAAGCATTTAACGCTTAGAGCCGATTCATATATGACATAACATGTGAGCTTATGCGGCGCTTCAACTATAAGCTTTGATGCCAGGACAAATAATATAGGGCAAATTAAGCGGCATAGAGATGCTTTTCTAAAATTAGAAACCGACTTGTTGGGAGAACAAGAAAAGGAGGACAAATGATAAAAAAGTTGACCACCAACAATCCCTTATTGGTAGATATTGGCAGATATAGATAATCTACCCATTGTAAAAGTATAATACCAAACGTTTAAGGGATTCTTTGTTTACTTTATTTAACAATAATAAATGTAAAACTTTAACATGAACACTTATGCCGCTCAGACAAATCGATAATCACAAGAAAACTAATCAAACTGCAATTTGACACAAGACTTACACTTGATAACATTGATAACAAGATGATGGAGTTTTTTTTACTTAAAAATGACTTTGAGAAAGAAATAAAGGCAAGAACAACAAGAGATATTGCTGTAAAATGTCTACACACTTTTATTGAACAGAAATGATACTTAATACAGAAAATTTCAGCTAGTGAATCCTAAAATAAGCAACTACGTGGAGTCATGTTCCACGATCAACAACTTCTAAAATCCAGTCACTAACATCACTAACTGATAGTGTTTAACTGAAAAATAGAAAATGGCTAAAAATAAGGGAAAAAATAACAGCAAAAAATTGTCTGGGTCTTTGTTGCAGTAACTGAAGCAATCCATCAACACAAGACAAGAAAAAAGGACCTTGTTCCGATTATTTTAGGTCATCTAGATGATCTTCTTATGACTTTTGTCTTTAGGAGCAAATTATTCAGTTAAAATCAACAATGATACACATGAAATTTGCATGTTAACTCAAACTTTTCACGAAAACAATTCCCGCAATTCTATAACCAGTAAATGACCCCAGTATTCTATAACCAGCAATTCTTTTCATCAATTATCACTAGTACAAAACAGAACAGTCCAAACGGTTATTGGAACCGTTTGGGCAAATCAAGATAGCCCAAACGGTTTAAACCATTTGGGATAATAATCCCAAACAGTTTAAACCGTTTGGGAGTGTCAAAAAGCTCATACGAAAATCTCAAATGGTTTTAACCGTTTGGGATGTTTTATCCCAAACGGTTAAAACCGTTTGGGAGTTTTGATTGGTCCTACAAATCAAAATTCCCCCCCGATATTCCACCGNATCCTCGAGTCGCCCCCCATCTCCTCTGTAAATTAGTATTATCTCCTCTCTACAAAACCCTAAGCCTAATTTATTTGACCATCTAACCCAAATTTTCCTATTTACAACAAATTAATTGACTTCCCGACATCACTTTCTCTTCCTCAGGCATCATCTTTCTTGAGTAGACTTATTTAAGGTAATTTCTGAGAGTTTTCTTATTTTTAGGAAATATTGAGTTTTTTTTGCTATTATCTTGTATTTTCTAAAATTTGTGGTTATTCATGAAAATTAATATAATGTATGATGTTGCTATTGTGATATTTATGCAATCGTATTTTCATAATTGGATTCGAACTAGTTAAAATTTTAGGTTTGTACGGGCTGAGGCAGGAGGCAATAGAAAAGCCTGCCTACCAAATTTTTTTTGAATCAATCAACCAAACCATGTACAATTGCAGCAACTACCACCACTCTCCTGTCTTCTACTATAACGTTCTCTGCCCTGTTGTGGGAAAAAAATTACCGAGGCCGAGAACCCAAAAAGAATTTCCAATCATGCCAGCACCTCTCAATTTAAGGCTTGAACGAAGAATCAATTTCGTGTCAGAATGCTTCTGTCCTAGATGAAATCATGTGGATTAACCTTGACGCAACTCTCTGTTTCATATAAGTTAGAGCCCAGTTAGAAATCAGCACCAGCTATAGTATATCAAGATTAAGACTTAATCTCTACAGTTCATGCTGCTTGAGGGATGTCTAACTTTTAGACGGATTGGCCTCAAATCAGTTGATGGCAGTGCTGTAGATGACTTCCCTGTTATGTTGGAGTCTATCATTGTGAGATATTGAGTAATCATTGTGTATGTATATGTTTTGTCTCTAATATTATATATTGAGTACTCATTGTGTATGTATATATAACATTGGATATTTAGCACCGTTCGAGATATTTTTGTGTATGTATATGTTTTAAATTTCATTGTGAGATATTGAGTAATTATTGTGTGAGATGTGTATATTAAATGTAAGCAGGTAGTAGATAAATAAAATAGCAAAACCTAAAAAAATATTACAATAAAAAGGTCCAAACGGTTTTAACTGTTTGGACAAATATCAGTCCAAATGGTTGTAACCGTTTGGACTGATTTTTGTCCAAACGGTTTTAACCGTTTGGGCTAATATCAGCCCAAACGGTTACAATCGTTTAGACAAAAATCAGTGCAAACGGTTAAAACCATTTGGACTGACATTTGGCCAAATGGTAAAGTCCAAACGGTGATAACCGTTTGGGAATTTGTCCAAACGGTTGTAATCGTTTGGGCGGTCGTTTGGGTAAACTCATTCCCAACGGCTTTTGCCCAAACAGTTTTTTTATCCAAACGTTTGTAACCGTTTGGGACTGCACTTGCCCAAATGATTACAACCGTTTGGACAGACCAGTTTTGTCCTAGTATGGAAATCGGCAAAAAATAAAAAGTGAAGGCATAAACTCCAGCCAAATTATATTAAAAGTCAGTATTTCCCAATATGAGCGAAAATATATCTACACATAGATATAGAATGTCAGTCACCATGTCCACTAAATTGTACATATATCTTGTGTGGTCGACATGCACAACTTACATGTTTACTAACAAGTAGTAAGGGGAGAGTTGATAAAGTTTTATGTTGTGCGAGAAGTCTTTATGTACAATAGCAAGCAAAGGAGTTCTACTGTCTTAAGTTTGCACATTTCTCAGATAACCTCCTTACCTTTTAAAATCTCACAAAATGCCCCTTAAGCTTTACAGTTCTCAGAAAACTCCCGATAACTCATAGCCTTCATGGAAAAACTCTAACGACATTAATTGCAATTTCCACATGGGTGGGTAAAATCATGCATGGAGATATTTTTGCTAGTACGAGTTGAGGTTCAGGTTTTCAGAGGAGTCTTTTTTTTCGTGAGAAACATTGAACGTTGAAGGTGTTTTCTCTAAGAACGCCAAAACATAAGAGTGATTCTATGATATGTTTAAGGGATATTATCTAAGAAATGCTCGAATTTAAGGGAGGTTAGTGAAATTTTATCTAAAAATAAAGATATGGTATATAAGTGCAAAGTATGAAGCTGATGTAATTTTATGATACTAAATAAAATAAAAAAGGAAAAGAACCTAAAACATGAGAAGATAACGCATCATAAGACATTTTTTTGGCTCACCCTAGTTCCCATGTTGTTATGTGTTAACTGCTTATTCAGGTCGGGTACGGCAAGTCTGCAACCATAAACAGGCTGGGTCAGGTCGGGTACGGCAAGTCTGCAACCATAAACAGGCTGGGGGTCGGGTTTGGACGGATCAACTCGACGCTAGTCAACCCGATCTGATCTAAACCCTTAGGGCTGCAAATCATATCATATCATATATCAGATACTCCCTTTAAAAGTATTAAAAGTACGAGTTCGGTAAAAAAAATTTATGGTCAATATTACCCTTAACTTTTTTTTTGAATATTACATTGTTATCCTAATCTATTTTAATTATCATATCTTCTTTGAATTGGTAATTAAATAATTTATCCTATTCATAATGATATTTAACATGTTATTCGATAAAGGAGATGCGTTTGATATAATTCAAATACTGTACTTATTTTAGTTCGCAGAGAAATCTAAAAAAACATATTGCAGCTAACACCTACAGTTTTTTAGACTTTGTAAAAAATATCCTCCAAGTTTTTTAAATTGCAAAAACACCCCTGCAAATTCAAGATTTTATTAAAACACATTGAAAATTATAAATTTTAGTTATTTCAATTTAATGAGAAATCTGAAAAACATATCTTAGCTAGAAACTAAAAGTTTATATTATTTAATTCATAAAATATATTATTAATGTTTGAATATTATATTATATTATACAATGTATTAATATAATGATATTTAGTATAATAATTTTCAATGTAATAATGATATTTAATAAGTAATATGGAGTACTAAACCCGCATCATTTGTTTTGAAGGGTAGGAGTCTATTTTTTTTATATCTGATGTTTAGTCTGTAAAGGTTTCTTCTTTTGTTAAATGCATGTGCTTCTAAATTGAATTGAACAGAATTTTTAACTGTTATTTCTTCTTTTAATTATTTATATGTGCTCATTTTTAATGGATATGAGCATCAAATGGTTTATATCGATGCCTATAGAATATAGTTTATTAAAAATTAGATAATCTGAATTGGGGTTTTTTCCTCAAATAGACTTTTATTTCAAAATTTAAATTCAGAGTTAGATAGTTTAATCACCAACTTATCATTTACAATATTCCACTTTAATTATAATATTCTAAGATAAAAGTCGACTTGCCCAATGAGCGTGTGGATATTTTTATTTCAAATTTTTAATTCTTAAAATTAGATAGTTTGATAATCAATCTCTAGTTTGTAATATCTCTCCTTTCTTATAACGTCAAATTCTTATTATAAAAGTGTGTTCGCATGTTAAAACCTTTACAGACTAAACATCAAATATAAAAAAAATAGACTCCTACCCTTCAAAAGAAATGATGCAGGTTTAGTACTCCATATTACTTATTATATATGCAAGACTCATCCGTGCGAGCAAGAAAAAAACACTTGTATTAATAATATATAATAATAGTATAATATACATTTATATAATATAATAGTGCTAATTTATATAATGGTATTAATTTATATAATGTATTAACAGAATATATATATTTTTTGAATTAATTTTTTTAACACTATTAGTTTTTTTTCACTAGTGAGCGATATCGTAACTTGACCTTTTTGGCGGTAAACTTATTCGCAATGATCCACAGAAGCCCAACAATTTACTTACAAGGAAATATTAACAATAAGAAACGAGCCCAAAAAAAATAGCGCTCCATAAAACCCTCTCTTCATGGCCATAAACCTCAACTCCTCCCGTTTCCTACTATCCCCCGTCCTCAAATTTCCCCCTCCTCTCCTCCTCCCGCCCAAATTCATCTCATCCCGCCCCAAAATCCCCAGATTAGGGTTTCGATTCCGTCGCTTCAGTTGCTACGGCGCTGCCGGCGTCGAGAGAAGTAGACTTATGGAGGGTCCGGTGACGGTGAAGGAGAAGATCGATCTCACTGAGAAAGAGGAGAAGATCTTCAAGCGCTTGCTCGATGTTTTGAAGCACTTCGAGTTGGAGACTCAGCTTCGAGTCGCCGGCGGTTGGGTTCGCGATAAGGTCGAATTTAATCCTTATTTTCTCATCTAATTTTGATTGTTGATGACGATACTGTTTCAATTCGATCAAAGCAAGGGAAAATTCTTCGGAGACTGGGGAAGAAATAAGTAGCTGGGATGCTAATTGCTATAGTTGGGATTTTAAAAAAAATTCAGTTGGGTGTCTTTTTTAAAGAATTATTTTTAAAGATAAACCAGGGATTTTTTTTGGGGGAATATTAGCAATTGGTTTTATTCTTTGCTTTTTTTTTTGTGGTCAAGTACACAGCTTTTAGATAAAGATTGCTACGATATTGATATTGCACTGGACAACATGTTGGGTAGAGAGTTTTGTGACAAAGTAAACGAGTACCTGCAGTGCGCTGGTGAAGAACAGCAGGGTGTTGCTGTCATTCAATCGTAAGTGGGCTGCTGCTTCTTTCTTTCCTTTTTTTTCAGTGTTAAGGTAAGGGCTACTCAGTAGGTAATGCCTGTTGGTTCTTTTGTAGTGTTTATATATTTGTAGTTTGCGTTGATGTTTCAAGAAGATTGCATGCTCTAGGAAGGGTTAGTTCAATACTGAAAGGGACATATTGAATATTTTGTACTGTTTAGACAAGACAATATGGTGCGGGAAAAGTTTATTTTAGGATATACTATTTCTAAAATAGTATGCCAACAGAAGTGTCCATTAGGATTTTGTATTGCATACATATGAACAAAACGATATCTTATAACACATTTAAAAAAACTTTGTGCAAATTTGGAGTAAACAGGGAAATTTTGCCTAAAGATTAGGACTTATAAAGGGCATATGCAAGTTAAAAGATCCTGAGATAATGAAGCTTTAGACAAGGATGCTTGTGCAGTGTCTGAATAACATGTATGGAGGTGATTCTGAATGTTGTATCTTATATTATGAATGTACCTCCATATATGGGGTGCACTTGCTGGCTTTCAGATCCAAATAGTAGATGGATGGTAGATGGAAAGTTAGACAGATGTGTCAATACATGCATGCACACATGCATAAACACATATATTCATATACATGCATACCTACATATGTGCGCGCATGCACACACATACATATATCTACATACACAGTATACGGATCTTTGGGTGAGCAAAAATAATTCTTAAAATAAGGCTCTCACTGGTTCGTGAGAACTTCATAATAGATAATTATCTGGATCTTTTGTACCGTCGTATTGATCTGCACACCTGAAATAACCTAAAAAGATGAAATGCCAAGAGGTTTGATAACGTCTTATCCATACGCATAAAATCAGACTTTTTTTTCTGCGGCTGCAATGACGTTCTTTTAGAGTAGGTAACCTCTTGATTTAGGAGTTCATACTAGAGTGCTCAATGTTTTAAATATTGGCCGACATGTCGGACATGTCGGCCGATATATCGGATTGAGGGGTCGAGCGACACGAATCAGTCTGTTTTGAGTCGTATATCGGTTTTCAGGAGGAAATCGGAGATGTCGGGGAGATATCGGTCATGTCGGCCAATTTTTCACCTTTGAGTCGGCCGAAATCCCCAGTTTTCGGTTTAAAGCTTCTTTGGCTTATTGGGTTTGGGTTTTGTGATGAAAACCCATACCCATTCAACCTGTGTTGAACTTGAGGAACTTTTTACGAACCCGAACCCAGAAAACGAGTCGATACTCGATAGAAAGAAAAAAAAAGCAAAAAGCTAGGGCTACAGGACAGCGACTGAGAACTTGGGAAGAGAACAACCACCTTCATCTTCTTCGTCTCTCACTTGCCGACGCTGCCGCCTTCGAAGTTCTTGCTTCAGCCGTCTTCGACCGCCTTCGAAGTTCTTGCTTCAGCCGCCTTCGACCGCTTTCGAAGTTTCAGCCGTCAAGTATGTCAGAGAAGTTCTTGCTTTGAAGTTCTGACATCAAGATTTCTTTTTCTCGTCTGATTCTCTCTCTCTCTCTTTGGGGTTCTGGCGTCGTTTTTCTTACATTTCTTGATGTTTATTATTGTCATCAAGATTTTTTAGTGTTGATTTCATCTTGTTTATCTTATTCACTGTTTCCCCTTGTTTTTACTATTTTTTGGTTACATTACATTATTCAAATAATGCTTTTTGTACTTGTAAATTATTCATTTGTAGAATTCAATGTTTGTCAACAGAGGGAAACAACGAATAATCACAGGGAAGAAAATTATAGTTTTATCTGTTTGGGGGTGATGAGTCTTTACTTTTTGATGATTACATTAATCCTAATTATACTCCAGATGATTACAAGTTGTATAGTGATCGAACTCTGTGGATAAATTTTTTTCTGTTAGTGATCCTAAACATCATATATTATTTACTTTTTTGTATGTCTAGTCTATAAAATTTATAAAGTATGCTTATATTAAATTTAGGAATGCTTAGATTACATTTAGGACATGATATTATACATATGCGCATCATCCGATATGGCAATCCGATATTTAGTCCATGTCCCCCGATATATCTCCGATTTTCGCTATCCGACATGGATTTCAGCCGTCCGACATGAACCCAACATCCGATATTTAAAACCTTGAGAGTGCTATCAGACATTGAAACCATTTATGAAAATGAATAAAATTTAAATGTAACTGGACCTTTCATACATAGAGTAATTTGAATGTGTGTAATAAAGTAAATGGTGTGAGTTATCCATGAGATGACCGAGAGCTTCTCACCATGTAGTGCTCATCTCGAATCTAATAGATATGGACATGTTATATTAGGACTTCGATTTTTTGATTTGTCATTGTCGTTGATGATATAGTTTAACTCTTGACTTAATATGTTTCTATTATTTTTCTCAATATTAGTTTTGTTGTCAAGTACATATTGTGTAGTTTAAATTATTTGACTGAACATCTGCTGCATTGCGGATATATGCCCTCAAACTGTATGATCTAAATGTTCATGTCATCGCTATATTGATTGTTTCTCACTTTAGTTGTTATGGTTCTGGGTGGTTGATGCACATTGAGTAACTGGCATCTGATACATTATGTTGAGTGTGCTTCAAAATTGCAACCAGGGCTAGTAATTTATGCACATTTATGTATTTAACTCTCTGCGTGTATGGGTATTTATGCGGTGTGTACATAAATAGACCAAAAAAACCTGTTTGTCAGGTTAGAGTTTCTTATACAGTTCTAATGGATATGTACAATAAGAGGATTTTATGATATTTTTTAATGAATCTATGTCGTTCTGTTGGTATTTGTGCAGCAATCCCGATCAATCTAAACACTTGGAAACCGCAAGGATGCGTATATATGATACTTGGATTGATTTTGTCAACTTGAGATCTGAAACTTATGTAGAGAACAGCCGTATCCCCACAATGGTATGAGTTCTCTCATTTACTAATTCTGTAAAATCAATGCGCGGCCCTTTTTTGTTATAACTAACCATTGACTACTTGTTTTTATTTCTTGCTTTATGTATGCTGTTCTTTCTGATTCTTGTTTCTACTTTTTCCTAATGTTTGCTTTTTGCCGAATTTTCTTTCTGCTCCTTCCCCCCTATCCAGCACCCTCCCTGTTCCTTTTCCTCAATATAGTGATACTAATTCTTTGTTTTTCTTTATACAACTTGTCTTTAGAGCATTTGACACGAATGTCAGAGCGTCATTTGTTTACTTGATCGGACACGTGTTTTTTAATGAACTGCCCTAGTAATATTTGTGTAACTTTCTAAAAAGATAGCTGCTCAGTAACTCTAGAACTAGCGGTATTATCTTTCATAGTACAAGGTTTATTAGTTGTCCATAATTGCATTTTGTATTTCTTCTGAAGCAATATTTTTGAAACCACTTTTGTACCTGCAGAAGTTTGGAACTGCCATGGAAGATGCATTTCGCAGGGACCTCACTATTAATAGGTAACCCAATATTTATTCCTTCTTGATTTCTAACTTTTTTATATGAAGATGCATTTCGCAGGGACCTCAGTATCCATAAGTAACTCGACATGTATTCCTAGTAGATTTCTAGCTTTTTTATGTGAATATGTTAGCAATGCGCTCCCTTTATTATATCTTAAACTGAATCAGAAAGCAGCTAGGTCTATCTATCTGTCCAGAGACGATGTTTTATGTCATGATCACTCTTTTCTATATTTTCATTTGGTGAAGAACCTGACCTGACAACATCATCAAGGCTTGACATCTGGTAGTAAAAGTTTGGACAGATTTAGCAATTTTTCTCAACTTTTGGGTTGTGCTATATGAAGGACCAATTATTATAGATCATCAAAGGTTATCATTTCTAACTTTGTCTATCACTCGCAAGACAAGGAGAAAAATGGACGCACATGAGATACCAGGATCAAAAAGAAAAAGATTGAATAGTCGTATGATACTGATAATGGAGATTTGCACGTACAATTTATACAGGACAGAGACAACAAAATGTGCAAAAAGGGTCAATATTGTTAATTTCTGTACTGTCATTTTCTTCTAGATCATTTGGGTTTAATTTTCACATGATGTCCAATTGAGTTGACATGCAAAAACTTTGCTTTTCTAGACTCTATCTGAGGTACTAACTTGTCATATACTTTTTTGCTGATAACTTTTGGACACAAAATTCCGCACTGCCACATAATTTCATCTTACAGTTGCCTCCTTGAAGTTTTCTAGTGGTTTGTCACTCGTCCCTTATATAAAATGGATCACATCAGGGACATTATTGTTGTCTTTCAAGAAAAAGACTCCAAGTTTGTATGTATGATGTTTCCCATTGGTTACAATATGCTTGAGGAAATATCTAGTTTCCAACAAAAACCTTAATATGTTCTCAATAGTGTGTGTGCCTTTTATGATAAACTTCAATTATTGCACATTTTTTGATAATTTGTTATCTAGAACTGCATGTGCATTGGTATTCATTCATTTCCATTGACATCACATTTCATATTTTGAAGTAATGTGCCTTTATAAGTTGTAATATTAATCTTGGTCCATTTGGCCACTATTCATTTTTAAATATTTTTCTGACAGTTTGTTTTACAATATCAACACTAATTCAGTGGAAGATTTTACCAGAAGAGGTAGAAAAAACTTTCATTCTCCGTTGTTCCTGATAATGCTCAGTATGAGAATGCTGCTTTTGTTTAGTTTTGTTTCACCTGCTGTCATTTTATACAGGTCTTCGAGACCTGAAGAATGGATATATAGCAACTCCTTTACCTCCAAAATCAACGTTTTTAGATGATCCTCTTCGAGTTCTTCGAGCCATACGCTTCGGTACAATTTTTTTGCTATCCTTTCTTAATGATTGAATGAGAACCCAGTATTTCATCCTTGCGGACAAATAATAGTAATCACTATTAATCCCTCTTTGGTGTACTCTAGGTATTTTACTCGGTGGTTATTGGATTGAAAACTGGATGTACTGGAAGTATATATTCTATTGCCCCATGCCACTTGGCCGAGAAAAGTCAAACAAAGTTCATATACAATCACTAGTAGCACATCGTTATAGCAAATATGGTCCGACAGTGACAGTAATTATCTGGTATGCCATGAATAAAATTATCAAAGACATGATATTCCAGAACGAATAGATCCTAAAAAATCAATTTAAAAGTAAAAAAAAACCCTGTGATGTTGGGTCAGATCGCTGTTACATGAAGTACAATACATCTTCCTTTCCCTCAATTGAGATAGCTTGAATTTGTATTTATATAGCTGAAGTGTTGTAAGCATGTGTGGACTGTGGAGAAGCATTATTTGGTGCCAACTGAATGGATGCTCTATTTAAATTATTACTGGATTTTCCTATTGATTTGAGAAAGATCAATACTTCAACCTGGAGATACCTTGTGTCGAATACTTATTGCAGTCTAACTATAATGTACTAGTTTATCTTTTTGCCTTTTATCTACTGTCTTAGGTGCTAGATTTGCTTTTGAGTTGGATGAAGAACTGAAGAAAGCTGCATCCGATGAGGAGGTGAAAACTGCCCTTGCAGATAAAATTAGCAGAGAGCGCATTGGGCATGAAGTATGTTCTTTATTTTTTTGCTTCTCCCTCAGAAAAGGTTCTTCGAGTTGCATATTGCTGTTGATTGATTCATTGTCTACACAAAATGCGCACAATCTGCGTGTGTTTGTTGCTTTGTGTGCGTGTGTTTTTTTATCTTTTTTTGTTGTTGTGTGTGGGGGGGGGGGGGC